AAAAAAAACTGCCATCAAGTTGATTCTGAATCAGAACTGAAGAGTAGAACTGTCCTATGGGTTTTCCAAGGCTGTAAATCTTTACAGAGCAGACTGCCTCATATTTCTCCCATGGAGCTCCTGGTGGTTTCGGAACACTGACATTTTGGTTAGCAGTCGAATGCCATAACCACTGTGCAACCAGAGCACCTTCTGTACTTATAGCCTAAATCAAATACATTTATTATGCATAACATTAAAAGCAATTATTCATAATATTAAAAATTTTTATTTCTTGGCAACTAATTTATAACATTCTGGTATTTTGTTGTTGAATTCCTTTCACATTTTAAAGAGGTATGCACATGAGAATTGATGATTATTTCATCCCCATAATGTATCTTCTAATGATAAATTTACATGAATGTATAAATTCTGTACTAAACCAAAAAAAAAAAAAAAAAAAAAAAAACAACAACAGCCATCGAGTCAGATCCAACTCATAGCAATCCTTCCTTGGGTTTCTGAGGCAGTATCACTATGGAAGTAGATTGCCCAACCTTTCTTCCAAGGAGTGGCTGGTGGGTTTGAACCACCAGCCTTCTGGTTAGCAGTCTAATGCCTCAGGCACTATACTACCAGAGCTCCTAAATTCTGTACTAAGCCACTATTTTTCTCACTTCATTGAATGTGTTTGCTTTCTGGTGGGAACACTAGCAGACTTCTCCTGATCTTTTAGAAATCTGGACATGATAAAGAACCAGAACCTTTAGGTAAGGCTTCTCACTTAGGTCTCCAGGACTTTGGTGAGAGGCCAGGTGAGACCTGTGGCTGCAAGAGTGGCATGATTACCAAGAGTCATTTAACTGTTGAGCTTCCCATAAGAGTTCTCGCTGCCCTAAGCAGTAAAAATTGATCTGGGGCCTTGTAAAGTAACTTGAATTTTCACAGGTGAGTGGAGTAGTAGAAGATAGAACCACCAAGAGGAGTAATCTCTAGCATCTTGGCATTAGCTCTTTCAGAGATGTGCCTTACCTGATACTTGGGTGTTCAAAAGTGTGCATACTGTTATCTCAAAAACAGGTAGGCAAGAGTTCCAGAGGAGAAAGAGGGCTAGGAATGATGAGGGGATGGCAAGGAAAAGACAGGTCAAAGGAAAGAATTTCCAGATTGAGTAAAGATCATGACAAGTGAGGAACAAGAAGGCACTAGCTCAGGAAAGGTTATGCTGAGGACTTCACAGAGAAGAGAGGCCAGACATGTGGTGAAGCAAATGGAACCTATTGCTAAACTATGAGTGTCACATTAAAGATCTAATATTTGCTTTAATGCTTGTATTAATTAGCAGAGCACTCAAAGGAGCTTTCTCCTCATGTCTTCTTCCATAGTCACAAGTAGTGGCTTATTACCATGTAATTTTTTTTTAATCTAACATAAAGATTATTGTTCTTAGTGCATCCAAGACTTCTTTAGATACAGCAGGCCAGATGACTACTGACTTGTTAAACACTTACTCAGATGATGACTACATTAAAAAAATTCAGAAACGCCTAGAAGAAGATGCTCTTGCACGAGAGCAAAGGGAGAAACGACGGCGGAGATTGTTAATGGACCAGTTAATAGCCCATGAAGCACAAGAGGTAAGATATTTAGATGTTGGTTAAATGACAGTGCTGAGAATTTTATGAAATATAGTCTTGGATACATATGCCAGCCAAAACCAAAAATTCACTGCTATCGAGTGGATTCCAACACATAAAGACTCTATAGGACATGGTAGAACTGCCGCTTAGGGTTTCCAAGAGTTTAAATCTTTGTGAAAGCAGACTTCCCCTCATCTTTCTCCCACAGAGTGGCTGGTGGGTTCAAACTGCCAACCTTTTGGTTAGCAGCTGAATGTTTTAACCACTGCACTACTAGAGCTCCTTGTATGTACATACATATGCACACACATATACATAGAACAAAACCAAACCCATTGCCATCGAGTTGAGTCCAAGTTATAGGGACCCTATAGGACAGAATAGAACAGCCCATAATGTTTCCAAGGTTGTAAATCATTACATATCTTTTTGCTGTGACACACATCCACACACCCACACACCCACCCACACACACACACACACATATATATATACAGACTCACATTTTTAATATTCATTTCTGACATTCTGAATTAAATCTCAATTGCATATCCTTACATTGTAACAGGAAATATATTCAGAAAAAAAATACCTATATAAAATATTTACTGAAGAATCTAAAATATATAATAATAATGTGTATCTATTATTATTTTTCTAGGGAAAAAAGGAACTTTTTATGAAAACAACATAGAAAAGTTGTTCATACTCTTACTTCATTCATTGATCCTCTCCAGTGGTTTTAAAATTGTGGTCCCTGGACCAACAACATCAGCATCACCTGAACAATATTTTTTCTTTTTTTTTTTTTAATTGTAATTTGGGTAAAAGTTTACACAGCAAATTCATTTCCTATTCAACAGTTCAGACACATTTTGTTTCATGACATTGATTGCAATACCTATGATGTTAACAGCTCTCTTCCCACTTCCTCCCTGTGGTTACCTTTTCCCTGTGTCCTGTCCAATGCATTCCTGCCCTCTGAACTATCACCCTGTGCAAATGCTACCCTTGTGATCTCCCATGATTGATTGTTCTAAGGAGTATACCTACCCAGTGTAAATGTTCACTTTATAGGCCTGTCCATTGTCTGGCTGGAAGCCTTGGGAGTGAGTTCAGTCCCAGGCCTGAATGGTGACTGGGGACCATAGTCTCATGGAGTTTACCAGTCTCTATAGCATAGTGGCTAAGACACTTGCCTGCTAACCAGAAGGCTGGCGGTTCAAACCCACCAGCCACTCCTCGGAAGGAAGGTTGGGCAATCCTACTTCCGTAGTGATACTGCCTCGGAAACCCAAGGAGGGGTCGCTATGAGTCGGGGCCGACTCGACAGCACATAACAACAACAATAACAACAACATCAGACCGGTGGGTGCTTTAGTGGCATAGTGCCTAAGGCATTTGATTACTAAGCAGAAGGTTGGTGGTTCAAACACACCACCCTCAGGAGGAAAGTTGGCAATCTACTTTCATAGTGATACTGCCTTGGAAACCCAAGGAGCGGTCACTGTGAGTTGGATCCAACTCGATGGCAGTGGGTTTGGTTTTTGGTTTTTGGTTTTTGAATCAGACCAGTTAACCTGGTCTTTTTTTTTTTTTTTTTAATGACTTTGAGCTTTGTTTAACATTTTTCTCCCATTCTATCCAGGATCTCCTGTTTTGAGCCCTTTCTGAGTGGTTGACAGTGGTAGCCAGGCATCATCTAGTTCTTGGTCTCTGGGTCCTGTAGGCTGAGGTTCACATGGTCCACTAGTCCCCTGGACTAATTGTTTCCACAAGTCTTTGATTTTCTTCATTCTGCTTTGCTCTAGATGAGAGGAAAGACCAAGTGTTGCCTGGACACTTTCAGGAATCCAAATTATTGGACCCACCTCAGACCTACTGAACCAGACACTTTGGGTTGGGACACAGCCATCTGTGTTAACAGGACCTCTCAGTGATTCTGATACAGCTACAGTTTGAGAGTCACTTGTCCTCTCTTCTATTGAACACATATTTACTGAGCCTTTTCTATGCTTTAATTGCTTGTGCTAGGCTCAGGGATGGGAGAAAAATGAAAGACTAGGGACTTGCTCTCATAGAGCTTGCTGTTTATTGGGAAATCTACAAACAAGTCAGGACATTAGAGGTGAAAGTGCTATGAAGTGGAATAGGATAATGTACAGGCTGGAAGTGCCCTCCCCCAGCTTGGTTTGGCAAAGTCCTCTGCAGTATGGTAGCACAGACCTGAGGAGGAGCAAGTTTCAAGGATTAGCTAATTGAAGGTATGGTAAGGTGAGATGGAGTAGTTTTCAGGGGAGAAATGCATAGTGGAAAGGTCAGTGTGTTTCCAGAGGACAGAATATCATATGAGAAGGTTCAGTGCCTTGGGAGCTTATTGAAGAGGCTACCACTCCCAGTGTCTCTTCTGCATTTATGTTGTGTTCCCTGCCTCCTTGTGCACTTGACACAGTGCCACTGCTCCAGAGTAGTGTAATAGGAAATGCCCATATGCACCATGGCCTGTTTTCCCATCTGTTCTTCTCTTCCACAAACAGAAAATTGTATTTTTCAAGGCTAGGATTTCATTTGATTCCCACAAGTACTATTTGTCTTTCAAGAAGGTAAGTATGTTAACCCTGGATGATTTCCTCTGGGCTCCCTTGCACTGCATCTATTTGAAATGGTTCAGAATGTTTTCCCTAGCTCCCAAGTTGTAGTTTGCCTCTGCCATTGATACACCCTTATTTTATTTGGGACTATGAAGAGAGCCAGAAAACCGTGCTCAAGTTGCTGAATTCCCTAGTGATTCATAAAGAAATGCAATAACATGAATGAATTGGTAAGATTTATATTTAAAAAGATTATTTTGACTTTTTGGAGGGTGAGTTTGGAGAGAGGTGATGGGGAAGACATTGTAGGAAGGGGCTGGTGTTGCCAAAGTATAGATGGTGTCAGTAGGTATAGAATGGAGTAAAGGGGTGGTTTTCAGACATATAGGGGAGACAAAATAGTGTGCTTCTTGAAGAATTAGATACGAGGAGTAATAGAAAAGAAGGAATTCAGTATGGCCCTAATGAAGCCAGACTTAGAATCATCAATTGAGATGGGGAAATACTCAGAGAGGACCAGGTCTGCAGGGAAGTAAATGAGTTCAGTGTTGGATTGACTGAGTTTTGAAGTATGTTATAGAAATTTAAGTGACAATATTCAGGCTGGAACCTTGGCTCCCAACTGGTTCCATGGTCATTTGGCTAGCATCTTAGCTAGCTCTTGCAGTTCACCTTTTCTGTCCTTTAGAAAAGGGAGCTAGCGTTTTAACACTAGACTCCTTTCCCTTCTTAAATGAATAACACTTGAACTTTCCTCTGTTCCCTGTCCTGTGATGGAAGCTGCTCTAGCATCTTAGGAAAATTAAGCTTTCATGATGGCCCAGCATAAACTTTCAGCACCAACTCAAGAGAGAGGCAGAAAGCCTGGCGGTCATATTGAGGGTATTCTGAATTCTGTATCTAAGTAAGACCTCCTCAAATATGCTTAAGTATAATTAAAAGAAAACTATGAATTCCTTATTATTTCCATTTTATTCATTGGAAATACAGATTATTTCATTTACATGCTGACATAACAGATATCTGTAGGCTGCTCTGAGGACCTCACTGCCACTTATAGCTTTGTTTCTATGAGAAAATATGACCCACAATCCAATGAAATTTTGGGAAACAAGTTATTTCTGAAACATGGAATACTTATAAATGGGACAACAAATATTTTTCCACTCAACTTTTGGATCTGGTCCTAAGGAACTTACACCCATTATTCATACTAAAGCTCCATATACATTGCATCGACTCAACAATTTTACTGTTAATATCCTTTTTTAATTTCCTTTTTATTCATAATGTGTTGTTAGCCAGACAGTAATCAAACACTACGTAATCAATCCAACTTCTTCATAAGGGTCAGAATAACCAGAAGTCATCTTGACAAGTAAATTGTTTTGCCATATAACACAGCCAAATCTCCTAGCATCCACATGAAAAACAAAGCAAGGTTATATTTTTCTAAAAAGAGATGACTAGGACAGTGCATTATGTACCATTTATCTATTGCTGTGTGAGGTGGTGTAGTGCCTAAGGCATTTGACTGCTAACCAGAACCCACCAGCCACTCCTTGGAAGGAAAGTTGGGCAATCTACTTCTGTAGTGATACTGCCTCAGAAACCCAAGGAGGGGTCACTATGAGTTGGATCCGACTCAATAGCAATGGGTTTTGGTGTGAAAAAACACCCCAAAACTTGGTTGCCAGTTTGGGCTGGGTTCAACCATGCTATTCTGTTTGTCTCAGATGGACTCACTCATACATCTTTGGTCAGCTGGTGGGGTTACTGGGACTGGTTGGTTTATGATGGCTTCATCAGGGCCAACTGGGAAAACTGATGCCTTCTCTCCGTGGCCTCTCATATTCCAACAGGCAGGCTAGGGTAATGTGTGTGGTGGCAGCAGCAGTCCCAAGCTTAATAAAAAAAGACCCTAAGTGTATTTTTTTTGTTGATGTCCCATTGGTGTATTCAAGTCACATGGGCAACCTATATGCCAGGGTAGAGAACTTGATTCTACTTATTTTCATATAATGCTTCTTTTTAACAGAAATAAGGGTCATGTACTTTCACCATACTTACTCAATTTGTATGCTGAGCAAACAATCAGAGAAGCTGGATAATATGAAGAGGAATATGGCATCAGGATTGGAGGAAGACTCATTAACAACCTGTGATATGCAGATGACACAACTTCACTTGCTGAAAGTGAGGATGACTTCAAGCCCTTACTGATGAAGACTGAAGACCATAGTCTGCAGTATGGATTATACTTCAATATAAAGAAAACAAAAATCCTCACAACTGGACCAATAAACAGCATGACTATAAATGGAGAAAAGATTGAAATTGTCAAAGACTTCACATTACTTGGTTCTATAATCAACACCAATGGAAGCAGCAGTCAAGACATCAGACGATGTATTTCATTGGGCAAATCTGCTGCAAAAAGACATTTTTCAAGTGTTGAAGAACAAAGATGTCTGCTTAAAAACTAAGGTGCACCTAACCCAAGTCATGGTATTTTCAATCGCCTCATATGCATGTGAGAGCTGGACGTTAAATAAGGAAGAACAAAGAAGAATTGATGTTTTTCAGTTGTGGTGTTGGTGAAGAATACCAAGAGTACTATGGACTGCTAAAAGAACTAACAAATCTGTCCTGAAAGAAGCACAGCCGGAATGCTCTTTGGAAGCAAGAATAGCCAAACTTCTTTGTCTTACCTATTTTGGTCATATTGTCAGAAGGAACCATTCCCTGCAGAAGGATGTCATGCTTGGTAAAGTGGAGGGTCAACAAAAAAGGGGAAGGCTCTCGATAAGACGGATTGACACAGTGGCTACAACAATGGGCTCAGGTATAGCAGGGATCATGAGGCTACCACAGGAGACCTAACAACAACATTAACAACAACAACATTAACAACCTAACAACAACATTAACAGAAACAATTTCCTTTTTATTTTCAGTTTAGCTTTTCTTTAATCTCCATTTTTACATTATTTCCCAGTTCTGGTTGTGGTTGTTGTTGTTGAGTGCCGTCGACTTGTTTCCGACTCATAGCGACCCCACACACAGCAGAACGAAACACTGCCCGATCCCGCGCCAGCCCCACAATCCCTGCTATACTTGAGCCCATCATCGCAGCCACCGTATCAATCCATCTCCTTGAAGGCCTCCCCCTCTTTCGTGGACCCTCCACCCTACCAAGCATGACATCCTTCTCCAGGGACTGGTTTTGGTATTTACCATAATTAAAAAAAAAAAAAAAAACTGCCATTGAGTTGATTCCAACTCATCATAACCTCCATAGGGTTTCCAAGGCTGTAAATCTTTATGGAAGCAGAGTCTTATCTTTCTTCCACAGAATAGTTGGTGGATTCGAACCACTGACCTTTTGCTTAACAGCCCAATGCCTTAACCACAGTATCGCCAGAGCTCCTTATTATTGTTATTAGTGCCTTGGTTTTGTCAAACATACAGTATTTCTTCTGTAATTTCATAGTGGGAGATATAATTGGAAACACTTATTGTTGAAGCCAGATTTTTTTCCTAAATTACTGAATTACTGAGTGTTAAATAGGAAGTTCCAGTGGTTAGGTATTCTTCTAAGTCTTCCTCACTGAATACTATAATTACCTCCTCCTTCCACATGATGTCTCTGTTCATGCAGAGTGAGAGAGCTTACAAGGGCCTTGGAGATCATCTTTCCTCTAACCCCCTCATTTTACCTACCAAGAAGGAGACCCTGAAAAACCCAAGTTACCTGCCCACCATCACACAGACTGGTAGAACTGGGGCTGCAGCAGCCAGGTCCTCTGATTCCCAGTTTAATATTTTTCCAACTGTTAATTTATTGGTCCCCCTTCAAGTACTTGGAGTATGTCAGTATAGCCAAAAACATCTAAATTCTCTTCCAGATTATCATCACTTAGATTTTGTAAAATAAACAATAGGTCATTTCCCTTTATCCTCTTTTTCAGCCTTCCCATCCTATCAGTTTTTACCTTTTCCCCACACAGGAATGTGATCAGACCCGCCATCTCTAGAAAGAAAATGTCTGCATATATTTTATAAACAGTATTTATATTAGTAAAGCAGTTTTGTTACTTTGAGGACTAAGGTATACTTGACCTAAGCTATGGTATTTCCAGTCACCTAATATGCTTGCAAAAGCTGGACAATGAATAGGGAAGACAAGAAGATTTGACACATTTAAATTATGATGTTGGCAAAGAATATTGAATATACCTTGGACTTAGAAGAACAAACAAATCTATCTTGGAAGAAGTATAGCCAGAATTCCCCTTAGAAGAAAGGACGGAGAGACTTCATCTTATGTTCTTGGATGTGTTATCAGGAAAGGAGGGACTTGTCCTTGGAGAAGGACATCATGCTTGATAAAGTAAAGGGTCGGCAAAAACATAGAATGACACAGTGGCTCAGCAATGGGCTCCAACATAGCAACAATTGTGAGCATGGCACAGACCTAGCAGTGTTTCATTCTTATGTACCTACGGTCACTATAAGGCAGAAGCAACAACTGGAGCCTAACAACAACAGTTATGTTAGAGTGTATGTACCACAATTTCCAATTTCTTAAGACATTATAAACTGAGAATTGTATTCCTTGTTTATAAAACCTTGAAAGTAATCAATAATTTTGTTTTCAGATTAGATTTTAAAGGAATTATTAGTTTATTTAAATTAATTGTGAATTGTAAGACCATAATGTTTCTAGACCCCAAGTTATAAAACCTACTGTTGGAGATTTTCATTTTATAATTAGGTTTCTACCATGTTCAAATTTAAATCAAATGGCAGAATTTATTTTAGATGAATGTTATTATGCCTTTTAAGATTATTCATGCATAGACTTTGTAGACCAACGGTGAAGTTGGACACTGACTTGACAAATAATTGGCCCTTTCAATGGTGTTTCAGGAGGCTTACCGGGAGGAGCAGCTGATTAATCGACTGATGAGGCAGTCCCAGCAGGAGCGCAGGATTGCTGTGCAGCTCATGCATGTTCGGCATGAAAAGGAGGTTTTGTGGCAAAACAGAATTTTCAGAGAAAAACAATATGAGGAAAGACGACTCAAAGATTTCCAGGATGCTCTTGATCGAGAAGCGGTAAACAGTATCTCCCTTAAAAATCTTTCTAAGGTTACCTTTGATCTTTTCTACCAAGTCATGGTAAACAAAGCCATATTTTGTTGTCAATCAGCTAATAACAGTTATTTATATAAGTTCCTCATTCTCTTCCCATTTTTACCCTTGTGCAACTACACTGAGAGAGTAAATAACCATTACATACTATAACCTCTTTCTTTAGTCTTGGTTCTACATCTAAGTATTTGATGTCCATCATCAGTCCTTATGTCCATGTCTCTCTAAGCATTTTGATTATCTGAAGCTTATATCCAGACTATCCTCTGGGACGTCTCATGGGAACAATATTCCCTTGTTGTTGTTATGTGTCATCAAGTCAGACCCGACTCATAACGACCCCTCCTTGGGTTTTTGAGGCAGTATAACTATGGAAGTAGATTGCCCCATCTTCCTTCTGAGGAGTGGCTGGTGGGTGTGAACCACCAGCCTTCTGGTTAGCAGTCAAGTGCCTTAGCCACTATGCTACCAGAGCTCCTTTAGTTCTTGTATATTAATAACAGTCTGTGTCTTATACTTCATTGTTAATTTTGCTGGATATATTCACATTTTTTCCTTAAATTTAAATATTTTAAATCATGCAACTCTATGTTCCTCAGGTGTAAGTATTGCTGTCAAAATAGATTTTTTTTGTTGTTGTTGAGTCATTGCTCTTATTGTCTAGCTGCCAAAAGACCTTCTTGTTCTTTGAAATCCACTAAGTTTATGAAGATAGGTCTTAATGAATGGAGGTGAATATTCTAAGTCCATTGAGAACACTTTTAAGCTGCCTCCTTCAACAACACCATTAGTCCTTAAGTAACACTCCCTTGCTTTTCAAGAAAAAAAAAAAAGGTTCTCAGGCCCACATTGCACTTTTTCTTTCTCAGAACTAGAATAGGCCATTTTTCCAAGGTGCTCTGGTGCACTGTTGTTTTTGTTGTTGTTGTTGTTATGTGCCGTCAAGTTGGACCTGACTCATAGCGACCCCTCATTGGGTTTCCTAGGCATTATCACTACAGAAGTAGATTGCCCCATCTTCCTTCTGAGGAGTGGCTGGTGCATTGTAGTTGAGCATAATATATGGAAGCCAACATTGGGGGTGCTGGGAATGCTCTTTGTGACTATAGTTGCATTGGGTATAGATACTGCAATAGCTCTAAAAATCAAAATATCCAATCTTTGAATTATTTAATGATCTGCTATTTTCCTTTAAATCTTTATACATACACACACTATATACATGGCTATACACATGGACTTCACCAAATGGAGTACACAGAAATCAGATTGACTATATCTGTGGCAAGAGACGATGGAAAAGTTCAATATCTTCAGCCAAAATAAGGCCAGGAGCTGATTGTGGAACAGACCATCAACTGCTCATATGCAAGTTCAACTTGAAGTTGAAGACAATTAAAACAAGTTCACAGGATCCAAACTCTGACCTTGAATAAATCCCTCCTGAATTTAGAGACCATCTAAAGGATAGATTTGATACATTGAATACCAATGACCAAAAACCAGAAGAATTGTGGGATTACATCAAGAGCATCATCAATGAAGAAAGCAAGAGGTCATTAAAAAGACAAGAAAAGAAGAAAAGACCAAAATGGATGTCAGAAGAGATTCTGAAACTTGCCCTTGAGTGGAGAGTAGCTCAAACAAATGGAAGAAATGACAAGATAAAAGCGCTAAACAGAAAATTTCAAAGAGCAGCTTGAGCAGACAAAGCCAATTACTGTAATGAAATGTGCAAAGACCTGGAGTTAGAAAACCAAAAAGAGAGAACAGGCTCAGCATTTCTCAAGCTGAAAGAACTGAGGAAAAAAAAAATTAAGCCTCAAGTTGCAATATGGAAAGATTCAATGGGCAAAATATTGAATAATGCAGGAAGCATCAAAAGAAGATGGAAGGAATACAAAGTCACTGTACAAAAAAGACCTGGTCTATGTTCATCCATTTCAAGAGGTGGCATGTGATCAAGAACCATAGTATTAAAGGAAGAAGTTGAAGCTGTACTGAAGGAATTGCCGGAGAACAAGTTTCCAGGAATTGATGGAATACCCATTGAGATGTTTCAACAAACAGATGTCTTGCTGGAGGCACTCACTTGGTTATGCCAAGAGATTTGGAAGACAGATACCTGGCCAAATGACTGAAACAGATCCATATTTGTACCCATTCCAAAGAAAGGAGATCCCACAGAATGTGGAAATTATCAAACAATTATCGTTAATGTCAAATGCAAGTAAAATCTTACTGAATGATATTTGATTATAATAGAAATGGGGGTTGTTAGCCTGCATATATCATGTAATCCTCACAACAGCCATTTGAGATAGCCACTATCTTTATTTATATTTACACATCAGGAAATGAAGCTTAGAGGACTAGAGGTAACACAGCTTGTCAGTGGTGTACAGCAAGCAAAGCCAGCTCTACACAACTCCAGAGTCCCAGCTCATAACCACTGAGATTTATTACCTCCCACATACTTCCTTTATCATTTTTTTTTTTTCTTTCTCTTTTTAGACTGCAACCCACTTTGCTCTAACAAGCCAGGAAATAGGGGTCCTTTGAGCAGTCAGGGTGTGGGGTAGAGATAGAAAGAAGGAAAAAGAAGACTAGGTACCTGGAAAGGAAGGAAGGGGAGAAGGATGAGAGAGAGGAAGGGAAGGAGACAAAGCAGTAACCCAAATTTGAAAGCTATTCCATTACTGATGGGGAAACTTTGTTATTGCCTTTGAGGCTTAGAGTCCATCATGTCCTGACGATTCCACCAATTTCACAAGCACCCTGGAGTGAATCAGCTGCAGGCCCCATTTTAGTGTCATTCTCTCCATAAATTCTCATCTGATGATTCCTACTGCCTTTGATTCCTCCTCCCTCTGGACTCTTCACACTTTAGGGAATGCGCTATAAAGCTTTGTACTTAAACTGCATTCTTTCTTCACCTAGAACAGAGCTTGCAAAACAATACAATAACACATTCTGGTGTAATTCCTGAACCTAGAGAACATACAGAATTGACTTTAGAGGTAACTCAACCCAACTTCTTTGCCAAGAAAGCTAAAATAAATTAAATGACAAAAACAAAACAAACAAATGACAAAAGAACCTTCCACAGCCATCCATCGGCATGTAGCTAGTCATTTATGAGTTTTATCATAATGCAGAAATCCTTGCTCTGACAAGATATTTGGCTACTTTTTCTGAGGACTTCAAGTACTATCAATATCCCTACTTTAAATTGAAGAAATGGAGAATCCAGGAGGCTAAATAACTCACCCAGTGTCTCACAGAAAGTACTTGAATGTTTTGCACAAGCTGGGGTTTTGATTTGACTCCAGCTCCTCCAAAGTCCAAATTTACTTCTCTTTCACACTCACTGAAATGAGTTACAGGAGGAAAGTCATGTTTCTGGAGCATGTGATTGCATGATGGAATTTCTCAAGGAGCTGGCATAGCTTTTGAAATTAAACATATTGACTATTTGAACCCTAGGAACTGAGCACTACTTTACTCTCAGCTTGGCTGAGCTAAGTCTGACCTTCACACATTGTGTGTAGAAACTTTCCTAAAGAAAATACTAGTGTAAACCAAATGGGAAGTGATGACAAATTGTTTAAGTATCTCTTTACTTTCTGTATAAATAGATCTTTGTACAAATGAATTTTGTCAACTTTTTAAGGTGGTAACAGCACAGGTTGTTGTTGGTGGTGTTTAAACTAGGAAACATTTGTTGGCAGTTGTGTGATATTGGCAAACCACTACAATCAGGGAATTGCCAAAATATTTTCTAAGTAAAAAACAGTATCTGAGACCTCTCCTACTAAAAGACAAGCAGCTGCCTCAAGGTTGAGCTTCCTGAGAGGGGTAAGGAGCCAGGTCTGCTTGAGATCTGGTGCCAGATTTGCTGTTTCTCTGTGATCCCCTGACCCTGACCATTTGCAGCCTGTGAGCTCAGAACCTATTTTTAAATGCATAAGATCCAATCTACCATATATTGAGATAAGTATTGATTTGGGTGAAAAGAAGGGCAATGTACCAAATGGGAGTGATCAATATGGCACCACTGAGGATGAGAAAGACATAGAGAGGTACATGGGAGGTATAGACAACAAATATGAACCCTTTTGCACATACAGTACTGCATTGTCAGTGAAAGTAAACATGGGTATGTGGATGGATAGATGGGTGGACAGGCTAAACGATTAGGTGTGTCTATGAAATGGGGAGTGTATTCAAGAACATATATAGGGTTGGCAGAAAATGGTGATATAAGTTTATGTGAATGATCAGAATTCCCAGGTGTATAGTAGAGCTGACAAGGGGCAAGGTTGTAGTCATTGCTTGGTCACAGCCAGCTACCCAGAGGGACCGAGTAATTGAACCTGCGGGCTTGGGACCATAGTCACAGGGGACATCAAGCTCAATTGTCATA